CCAGTCTTTGGAGGCCTAGCGGCCCGTCTCATGTTAGTATTCGGAATCAGCACACTCGATTACCTATTGTTCGCTAAGTTTTAAGCTAGAAGCGATTTATCACTTGGTGTCCTTTCCTCGTTAGTTTCGTACGTAGATGACGAATATAGTATTGGTTTTGAATAGAAATTCTAAAAACTTCGCTCAATTCCTGAGGGGGAACCAAGGCAAGAAGTTACGACGAAAAAACCTTTTTTCAGAATATCACATCATTCGGCTTGGCTTTGTACGGGGAAGGAAGTGAGGGTGAGTGGAGGAAGATTTTTCAATTAAAAGTAGCTGCTTACAAAACGTTATTAAAAATAAATATGATATTCATAATCTGTGCACAAAGCCAAACCGAATGATGTGATTTTCTGAAAAAAGGTGTTTTCGTCATAACTTTGAGCGAAGTTATTAGAATTTCTATTCAAAACCAATACTATATTCGTCATCTACGTACGAAACTAAGTTCAATGATGTACATTTAGCAGAAAAAAATTTCGTCCAAAACTTGTGCCTTCGGTCCCCCTTAGGCACTAATAAGAGTAAATTCAATTTTTTTGGGTTTCGAGTGTTTGCCGCCAAGTTTCTATAATCAGTTTATAGGTTTTAAGTGATGCTCTTTACGATGGAATAGTCAAAATTTGGATTCCTTAAGTTCTCCATAAAGTGAACTTGTTCCAAAATCAGTTATGATTTTACAGACCATGGACGATTTTCGACCAATCCGAAACAGTCCATAATTTATTGTTGCATTTTTAGAATTTGCATCGAGCAGTTACTGTGTATCTGAACGGAGAGAAAGATAAAAAAGAAAACAAGGTGACGCTCGCATGGTCCCCTGACTTTATTAAGTTAGATCTGCGCAAGCGAACGCCCTTTGGTGACTTATAAATCGAACACAATGCCCACGCCTCCCTTCGATCGGTGCTCGCTGGGGCCCGAAGTAAGGCATCTTCTGGATTTCTTTTCTTTTTTTATGTATAAGGTTCGTAACCTGATATAAATATATAAATCAAAAATCTGTAGAGGTCTAAACATATTTCTGAATTCAAAACAATGCTCACACCTCTTTGCGGTCGGCACTCGCTGGAGACCTGCCTAAGGCATCTTCTGGACTTTTTCTGTTTTCATGTGTAAGGTTCGGAATCTAATATCAATATAAAGAGCAAAAATCTCAAGAGGTCTAAAACTATTTCTGAATTTAAAACAATGTTCACGCTTCCCTTCTGTCGCCGTCCGCAACCACTATAGTTGAGAATGTTATGAACTTCTCTGATTCCACCGCGAAACCATCTAATGTAATATAAAGCTAAAAGGTTTTCTGCACAGCCTCGGCAGATCCCAAGGCGGTTGGAAGTATTTCTAATCGGTTTGTTATGATAGATTATCTATACACTGTCAATTTTATTACCCTTATACCACTTTTGTTCTATTGTCATAGTTGACTGCCCTCTGGCGACGTCTATCCCCGGCCTACAGAAAACATTTGCTTAGCTGTTTACCTCTCTGCATCAGTAGATATTGCAGATGATCTCTTTGAATATTTTCTCTCTTATGTAAAAAATAATTTTCCATTTTTGTCTCTTGTGGTTCGCTTATCCATAGAATATCTGAGAGCCATTTTTCCGTATTTTGCGCACACATACACAGGTCCGGGGGACGTTTTTGGTCCCGGTCCACGGTGTGCATCCAGGCGGACATTAGACGGAAAATGAAAGTCGACTTTCGAATGATTTAAATAGTGATTTATATACTTCAAGTGATGCTCTGTCCGATGGCATAAAAATTGTTGTTACAAAATCTATGGATCATAGAAAAACAAATAACCAAAAAACCAAAAAATAGCTTGAAAAGAGTGATATCGACGAGAAAAGTATAATTTTCACAACAGTCAATGGAGTTGTAATCAAAAACGAGATATATTCTAAATCTACATGGTCTCGGCTATAGATTAGTAAAAAAACATTTTAATTTGGACGTATAGGAGCTGAGAAAATTTTACAAAAATTTTTTTCTAAAATAATTTTCCGAACGGCTATTTTCAGTAAAATGAGGGCGCCCTCCACAGCCCAATTCGAAGCTCGACCAAACTTTGGCAAAATGTTCGTCAACATGCTTTGTATCTATGGGGAATGCGCAAAAATGCGCAAATGTTTCTAACACATACAGCAGGTTTTCTAAAAAACTCTCGCTTTTTCAGGTGTTTTCGATTTGTCTCTATTCAGAAACGTTTTTATTCAATAAAAATGACATATTTGGAATCAGCGCAAGAAACTACATCGAATGATGTGAGATTAGTAGGTTTCTCTGAGCAAAAACTTGTTGGACGTAACGAAACGCTAAAGTCGAAGCATAGCGTGACAATTTGGCTAAGGATTTTGATATTGGCTATAAAAGCAATCCGAAAGCCTACAAACACTTCTTTTATAGGTTTTCAGATACGCTCTTTCCAACGATATGCTTTATAGAGTTCCAGAATACTTATGTGTGGGTTTTCTAGAGATCCGCTCTCTGGAAAACCCAGATAAAAACCTCTTTGGACTTTGTAAAGCACACCGATGGAAAGAGCGTATCTGAAAACCTATAGAAGAAGTTTTTGTAGACTTTTGGACTGCTTCTATAGCACATGTCCGCCTGGCCTATGGAAAAATGCAGACCGTGCGGTCCCATATAGAAAAAAAGTCTTGGTCCCGGTCCCGTGAAAAGAACTCATTTTTGGTCCCGCAAATATTTTTTCAAAGCAGCGCCCGTAGTTTGAAAGTCAGCGCGTTGTAAATTACAAAGATTTATGTAATACTACTGCAGACAGAAGTTTAGAAACATTAACAAAAAAACAAAAATATGAAGAGCAGGGTGATGATAATAACAAGCAAAAAGATAATGATAGTGATAACGATGAAATGGCAACAACTGCAACACTTGATGATGACTTTTTTTGATAGATAAAAATGATACAAACAGGCACGGAAACTAAGAAATTTTTATACTTCATACAAGACTATTTTCAAAAAAACCTGGTCCCGGTCCTTTTAAAAGTTCCACGGGACTGGGACCGTCTCGCAGACCTCTAGGTCCCGGTCCCGGTTTCGTAAAAAATATTTTTCTGGGTTCCGATCCCGTAAAAAGTCCCGCGGAACCGGGACTGTCCCGCAGACCTCTAACACAGACAAGTATTTTGTAAGGCCTCGTCTACACTACAAAAGTTAAAGGAGCTTTAAGCAATTGTATTGGCTTAAACTAACAAGGTAACGGTCGTCTGCACTCGCTCGGTTCCTTGACTTTAGGAACTTATATCTGCGAACGAGCCTCCATCACTCCTGAGTCCACGACAACGCTCACACCTCCCTTCGGTCGGCGTTCGCTAGGGCACTATCTAAAATATGTTTTAAATTTTTCTTTGATTTGTTGTATAAGGTTTGTAATCCCATGAAAATGTAAAAGGTTCTCTCGAGATTCCGCTAAGATCTCCAGAGGTCTAAAAATATTTCTGAATTCAAAACAATGCTCTCGCCCCCCTTCGGTCGGCGTTCGCAGCCAGTATAGCTGAGAAACGCTGTGAACTTCTCTGATTCCACGGAAAAAACGTCTGATGTAATATGAAGCCAAAAGGCTTTCTGAACACCCTCTGCAGATCCCAAGGAGGTTGGAACTATATCTAACCGATTTGCTATGATAGATTATCTATACACTGCAAGTTTTATTATCCGTACACGATTTTTTTCGTTTTTATCACCGTTGTCTCACGACATATATCTTCGGCCTACAGAACACGTTTGCTTAGCTTTTTTCTCTCTGCATGAGTAGAGTTGTCACATTATGTGTGGTTAAAAAGAAATTTTTTATGTTTCTACACACACACACACACCTTTTAGCCAATAGAATTGCTTAACTTTTGTAGTGTAGACAAGGCCTAAGACCCTACACAAGTCGACAATCTTGAGATCGTTTCTGACAGAATCTTGATTTCAGGTCAGTCTTATCAGATTCTGACCCTATACAATCAATAATAAGATTCAGATTAGAATGACCTGATCTGAAAAATTTTTCAAGATTCATGGTCACTGATTCTTGGTAAGAAATCAAGATCAGTCCATTCGGTCTGAATCAGGAGATTGTTT